GAGCTCGGATCGTTGCCGGAGACAGCAGTCGGTACGTGGAGCTGAACACAGACAAAGGAATACTGGTGGTCAATGAGAGAATAGACAGGGAGACGGTTTGTAATCAAATATCTCCGTGCAGCTTCAATAGTGAGATGATTCTCGATAATCCAATCGAATTATATAGGATTATTATAGAAATAATGGATATTAATGATCATGCTCCAGCATTTCCGAAAAATGAAATAAATATCGAGATCAGTGAATCTGCGTTGCCCGGTGCGCGGTTTTTGCTGGACAGCGCTTATGATCCCGATGTCGGTATTAATACCATACAGAGCTACAGTCTAAATCCGACTGATAATTTTGTGTTGAAACAGGCGACCCAGCCTGATGGTACGATATACATAGAGATGATGTTACAATCGCCCGTAGACAGAGAGAAACAGGAGGACTTGTCTCTAACATTAACTGCTGTAGACGGAGGTCACCCACCGAGGTCCGGTGCGATGAAAATAAATGTAAAGGTTTTGGATGTGAATGATAACGCTCCAGTTTTTACAAAAAAACATTACAAAGCCGAAGTTCCAGAAAATTCTTCCAAAGGGACGTTTGTGACAAAAGTAAGTGCAACTGATTCTGATAAAGGCATTAATAGTGAAGTCACCTACGCCTTCAGACATATTACAGACAAACACAGTAACGTATTTGAAATAAATGAAAAATCCGGAGAAATTTTTGTTAGTGGAAGTGTAGATTTTGAAACTATGCAGAAATGTAAAATAAACGTCGAAGCTAGAGATCACGGTGGTTTTACAGATTCGTGTGAACTTATTATTAATATAATCGACTTGAACGATAATATTCCTATTATAACGTTAACTTCATTCACTAATCCCGTTTCTGAAGACGCTTTACCCGGAACTACTGTTGCAGTTATTAACGTTAAAGACTTGGACTCGGGAGAAAATGGCGAAGTCACATGTGTGATTAGCGAAAATAGCCCATTTGTAATAAAATCATCTTTAACAAATTATTTTGTATTACAAACTGAGGAATATTTGAACCGAGAAACAAATGCAGAATATAACATTACAATCAAAGCTGCGGACCACGGCTCACCCTCTCTCTTTAGTAACAAGACGTTACATATCAGAGTATCCGATGTCAATGATAATGCACCACTATTTGAACAACGGTCTTACTCTGTTTATTTAACGGAGAACAACACACCCGGTGTTTCCATGTTCACTGTAAAAGCGAATGATGCCGACTGCTGCCAGAACGCGCGCGTCTCCTACCTGCTGG